GTTTGTGTTTCAACCTTCAAAATTAGTACTTCCTGACGTGTTTTAGTGGAAAGTAGGTTAATATGACCTGAAAAACCATGCATGTTCTTTCATTTGATAGGAACACTTAAACGAAGTTCATAAACCCACAGAGTACCTACAAAGCAGCTAGTGTTGTTCACAGAGGCCTGAATAACTCAATAAGACATCTCTATGACAGCTTGTTGGGAGCATTAAGCCAAATATATATCTCAAAGTACGGGTGCAACAACACTGTCTGAAAAAGTTTAAAAGAAGCATTCAAACTTAAGAGTTTAGTTGAACAAAAAGAACAAAATTACAATAATGTAATTTGGGGATGTATTCTGAAATGCACAAAGAAAAAAAAAACTTTTTGGTTTGCACTACATTGTATATGCATATGAGTTGGGCAGTACATTTGCAAAAACCCTAATAAGAAGAACAAGGTAAGATAGAGAACATAAGCTTTTGTCCACACTGTCCACTTCTAAACCATCAGATAGAAATTGAACAACACAGCTATAGCCTGCTATCTGTCAGGAATAAAAATACTTAGCCTTGCTCACATGAGTGTGGCTAATTCAATATGACGTCTTTCTAATAGTAGTCTGGCCACTGGGAGGAAGGGACCAAATACAGAGAGAGTGTACAGATATTCCAGGTGTAAGTAAATGTAAATGAAGCTATAATGTGGGCTTTAAATCTTTAGGGAGCATGTTAGTATTTGTTGGTAAAATCAGAAGAGGTAGTTTAAAAAAAAAGGGGGCCCTCTGTACTCAACCTTCAATAATTTGGAAGCGTTGCTGATAGGATAAAACAAGACCATCACAAAACAATCTGCAGCCATAATGTGTGGAAATTGACTATTACAGCAACACCAAATCATTATCTGGTAGCTAAGTCAGTTATTGCTGTCATGATCAAAGAATCATGATGCAGGGACAGAAACTGTCTCACACAACAATCCTATTTGATTTTATAACATGCATTCAATTAGCATCTAGGTTGAGCGGACTTGTGAATCAATAACACTGCTTACTAATGCTATTCTATTTCTTTTGTTATTAACTTATAATATTAAAATGAAATGCAATACAGAAAATCCAATGTCAACCTTCACTAATTAAAGGTCCCATGAACTTAAATGAAACCTTTGTCATTACCTTGTGTCACAGGATGTTTTGAAGGCTATCTGTGGTTTTGTGCTAAATGTTTTATGGCAATTAAATGAATAATTTAGTTAAAATCTCACAATTGTCTCATCCAGCGAAGGTAATCATGTACAGAATCTGTCATTATCATGGCAATGCTGCCACCATTAAATCACATTTTTTCCAAAGTTTGGACCTGAACGGGATTCTGTATATATATATATATATATATATATATATATATATATATATATATATATAGACAAATGCTTTCTCATTGTATTGTCCGGTGAACATTGCAGGTCTTTTCCATCTGAATTTCACAGTTCAAACAGTCAAACTCCAGAGCATTATCTCCCTACGGGTTTAGGTCATGCGAGGTCAAATTGTTTCTACCATGATGCTATTACCGAATCACTGGGGATCTCCTTAAACTGAAACTATGGTTATGGTGTTAACTTCAGACAATTGCCACGGGGGTAAAGCATTTTTTGAGTGTGTATGTGGTCATTGTCACAGTTATCCCACTATTGTCAGTGGGGCAGCCTCCGGTGATTGTAATGAAATCTGAGTAAGGCTTTAGCAGCCATGCCAAGCTCTGTGGAAACCAGACTTGTGAGTTAGCTCTGCCTGTGACCCTGTTTAGCCCCAGTGAGGAAACAACACCACTCCAGTCTCAAACTGTTGCAATAAGAAAATTCAGGCTAAATGGCCCATGTTGCTATGTACAGTTAGTGTAGTATTACTGCAACAAAACAGATGCTAGCCCTATTAAATGATGTTATTATAACAATGAAAACATTCAAATGTATTCATACTTTTAGCTAGCAACAATCCTGTTGGCTTGTAGCTGACCACCCAAGCTAGATGGTGGTAGCTTGCTTTGGTGGCCTTTAGACAATTTGCTTCATTCTTGAAATTCATTTGTATCTAATCCTTTTCCATTGCATCTTATCTGTGAAATACATCTTGGTACCATAGGTCACATTTGTATTGATTTTCTAATAGCTCAAATCTTGACACTTTAATGCATTTATAATAGCTTGGGTTGTTCTCACGGTCATTTTCTGTATACATGTAGACTATTATGCTGTCAAAAAAAAAATGAAATGGAAAATTTGGAGCCAGAAGGAGGCAAGATTTTAAATGCAGTATTAAAAAATCTTGCATCTATTTCAGAAGAAAATAGACAATAGAAAAAATAAGCATTTAGGAATAGTGTGATTAAAGCAGTGGTTCGTAATTGTGAACCCCAGATAAGTGGGGTTTACCCAGGTAGGTCATTTAGCACCCTGTGTGTATATATGAGAATTATTTGAGCAGGTGACCTAAATGATTAAGACCAGCAGACTGAGATCCACTGGAATTAAAGTTGATAAAAGACGTGAATTTATTTATGTAACATAATAATCCATCACTATTATTTCAAACAACTCTCTGCAGTGCTCACTTCTAACTCTAAAACCTGAGAATGTTGCAAAAAATTGCATTACTGTAATCCTGGTTGCTTCTAAAGTACACACTTTACACTGTATCCCAGGGATTTATAGAAGAAATGATGGTTTGTTCTGCTTTAGAGCAAACAGCCCTAAAAACATCAAAACATTTACACAGAAGTCGATTAAAAATGTATTCAATGCTGTTGGATTACCATACTGTAACAAAAACAAACAAACAAACAAGTCTAAAGATGTGTGTCCCATCAGAATTCATGTTCAGTCAAGAAACTTTTAGTTGACTGTAAGACATGATGCCAAAGATTAAAAATTGACTGATTAAAAATGACATGTTTTGCTAAATTAAATGTCATTTGAGGGGATTGTATTCAGGCATTTGTGCAGTCAGTGCAAGAATCAAATATGATCAGTAACTAACATTAAGGAGTGCAAACATCAAAGCCAGACTGTTCTGACAAAAAATAAATACAAAAAAAAAAAAAAATGAAAAAGATCCTAAAATATTCATTTGGTAAAGTATTATTTTCAAGATCAGAAGCAAAGCAATGTAAGATAGGGACTTTTTTTAACGGAGGAGTTATTGGGTATTTTGGTGAACGCACCTCCTCTAATAACTAACAAACTAACTTAACAGATAAATGTTATTTTTCTACAGTCACATCACTTCACAGACAATCTCCCATTCAGAAGGTGAGGACTTAGCAGCAGTTATTTAATCGAAGTCCTGGTGCTTCTGTCATCCAGCGTGACTAACAGGATTTGACATGGTGACGAGTGGACGGGTCCCAGGTTCACAAAACACATTCTGTCCGTCTGACCCCTCTCCACACAAACACACACACACGCACCACTACGTACATGAGACCACACACAATTCCACCCACATAGGTAGAAAGCAATGGTATATAATCCAATGTTCTCACTTGGACAATATCCCCCTCTCTCTCTCTCTCTCTCCTTTCTCATTCACACACACGCACACACACAGAGAGAGAGAGAGAGAGAGAGAGAGAGAGAGAGAGAGAGAGAGAGAGAGAGAGAGAGCAATATTTACCCATGTGTTTATTATTGCTGCTTATTTGGCACTAAATAGTCCTACCTGTCTGTATAATCCATTTTCACTGATGACTGAGCAAAGCTTTGCATTATATAAGGGTTCACATGTTGGCACCCAGAGCAGGATGAAGTTCATAATAAAGGTGAGCTACTGTAATGTAAGAGCATCCAAATCAACAACAACAACAACAACAACAACAACAACAACAACAACAACAAAACGACTTTACTGTACATCAGCCCAACCCCTCTCACCTTTGACTTTCCCCTTACTATCTGCTCTGCATTGAGAAGACGACAGCTTGCAGTAATTTAAGGTAATCGGATGACTCTCTCTCTCTCTCTCTCTCTCTCTCTCTCTCTCTCTCTCTCTTCTCTCTTCATAATCCGAGACACAGGCTGCTTGTGAGGAAACCTGCTTTTGATGGGACCACTGCACTGACCCTGTGACAGAGCATACACAGTGCACTGTAGCAGCTCATGAGCGACTTGTTGAAAACACCCCTACACTTGGTATTTCAGATGAGATGGGAGATCAATTACAGGGGAGTAATTGCTTCTCAACTAGAAACTTATACCACACGTATAATGGATTTCCACCCACTGCACTACAACCACCAGAAATGCAACTTAACTATTATCACATGAGAAATCCAATATTAACTGTAAGGTCTACACTGTTGTAATCCGGGCTGGTGCAGGTTGCATAAAAAAGGGGGAGACTTAAATTCATGTTTAATCAACCGTATCGTTATGAGCATCACTGATAACCAATAGCCCGAGAATGTCTTAGATCAATTAGAGCAGCGTGTTGCATATAAATGTGCTGAGTTGTCTCGAATCAATTCGGGTCGACGTCTATTTAGCACTAAACCAGCACCAATAATCCCCCTCCGCCAGTTTCAGCACCACGGACAGCGAATTCTCCCGTTTAACCCGCAACATGAACTGTTCAAACTCATACTGTAGTCGATATGCTGCCGTGCAGAAAGGGAGCAGTTTTTTTTTTTTACAAAGCATGTCTCAGCAGCAACAGCCTATCTTTATATCGTTCTTTTATTCCTATTTTAGTAACAGAAGCAGCGTTTTTCTTTCTACACTGCAAACTTCTTCATGTCTACCTAAAAGGAACAGACCCCGCAGAGGAATATCAACTATGTAGCCCTGCAATAGTCTGAAAATAGTGAAAGGATATTACAGCGAGGAGAATATAAGACAAATGCAATACAATTTAAAAAAAAGGTGCCTTTAAACTCAGCACACATGCGTAAAATAAGAGAGTAGAGATGTTTTATTTAATAATACAGGTTTAAGAGGGATATAATGTGCGACTCACCGTGTTATCCTCGTTGAAGCCATATGTTTAACACACAAATGTACTTTTCCACACACTGTTGCCGTCTCTGGGCCGCGGTAAGACACAGCCCGAAGACAATATCCAGGAAATAACATCCACACAACTCATCCACCCGCCTGGCTAAAGACCGACCCCACTTTTTCTTGGGGGAGGGTGGGTGGGGGAGTGGAGTGAAAGAAATACCGCCGTCCGCGCCTTCAAGACGAGAACAAAAATGAGTTGTTTGTTTTTCAAGTCACACACACACACACACACACACACACACACACACACACACCCAAAAAGAGATAAGACTGTTGTGGCCCTTGTGCTGTGAAAAAATAGTCTCCCTCTCCTCTAGTCCTCTTTTAGTTGAAGTCTCCAGTGTGGGACTTAGAAGGTAACTACGAGCTCTGTAGGAGAGAGACAGGGTAACAGTATATCTCCTCTAGTATCCCCCCTTGCTTTCTCAACCAGAGAGAGAGAGAGGGAGAGAGAGAGAGGGAGAAAGGAGAGAGAGAAAGGAGAGGGAGGGGGGAGTTAGAGAGACTGTAGCGACATTAGCTGGAGGAAGAGAGGGAGAGAGAGAGAGAGAGAGAGAGAGAGAGAGAGAGTCAATGCGGAGTCAGAAAGGGAGGTTGTGTCGTAAGGTAGCCGTGCATTTACCGCAGGAGCAGCAGGCAGCAGTGATCATCGGTACACCACCGTAATCTAATTATGTCCACGGCAAAAGGCGCACGGATTACCGGCTGGCTGCTCCGCTCCGCTCTGGTCTGGTCTTTGCGCCCCATGGCGGAGAGGGCAGTATATAGGTGCTGGGCCAGTTTATCAAATTTCAACTCCTCAGTATGCACTCATACTCATGCCAGTGCAAAGTTATCACAGGCAAAAGATCTTCACATATCTTCTCTCACATTAAAACCTTCACATCTTTGTTTCTTCGCTTTCTCTTGCATCTAAAAAGCAAAAATGACCTGATTATCTCAGCGTATTTTCCATGGTAAATGTTTGAGATTTGTACACAGTGCAGTTAAGACTTTGATTTCATGCTTTTTTTTTTGAGCTGGTAAGCAGCCTTATTTATTCGGGATTAACTGTTCCTATAGGTTTATTCCACCACTGAAGTTATTGTAAGGTATGTATTTCCAACTCACCATCAGACTCTTTTCCAGCAATGCCTGACATGTCTTGGTCACTTGTCTTCAATGGTAGCCCTCATTACTTTACTTCTACTGCCCCAAAGTGAACATGTAACTGTGGCACTGCAGGTATCTTAATAGGTTAAAACAGTAATCCTATCAGTCAATTTACAGGAGGGTAACATCTATCCATGGAAGAAGGGTTGGAGCCATCTCATATTGTGTGAGTGGTGAGAGCAGTATTCTTTACTTAAGTAAAAGTAAATGTAAAAAACACCCTACTATAAGTAAAAGTACAGAATTTAAAACTTTAAAGTAAAAAAGTACAGGATTATTTGCTAAATGGACTTCAAGTATCAATACTCATTTCAGGGTGTGCATTATAATATATATAATGTTATTATTACTTATGCTAAGTAGCATTCTAGATGTTTTAGCATGTAGAGGTGGAGTTAAATTTACCTACTTTATATAATATTGGTAGCTAAATTTATAGCAATGCATCCTATTTTTCCTTCTTTTATTAGATTATCAAACAGTATGTTTTCAAAGTAAAATCTTAATCTGTAAAGTAACCAGTAACTACGGCTGTAAAATAAATGTAGTGGAGTAAAAAGTACAATATCTCCCTATGAAATGTAGTGACATAGATGTATTGGGATTTAACAAGTATCTAGTGGTGAAGCTGCAGATTGCAACTAACTGAACACTGCTCGCATCTGTATTTGATGACCTAGGATGTGGAAGGGAGAACGTACTGTGGCTGTGGAGTTTGCCGAAAAGGTGAAAGGCCCCATCTACAGCCAGTGTCTCCAGTCTGGGCTATTGCAGAAACATGGCAGTTCAACAGGAGATACAAATGGCTCGATCTTATGATTCTTATATTTACATGATTATACTTTAAGGAAAACATACATATGAATATTATATTATATTTCTCTTGACCTTTAAGTAGCAGAATATGGAAATACGTAGGCAAAAAAGGACCAAAATCAGTGCAGCAGAAACAGAGATATTGTCTTTTCTGTACCATGCATTCCTTTTCCTTGTCAAAACCTGCCACCTACATTAACCACAATGCAACTTGACTGTTGACAGCTTGGTCAGACAATCAATTATGTTATGCTAGAGTTCAGGAGTGGGCCACGGAAGTCTGGTAACCACACTTCTTTCTAACTCCACAGCCCCTGATTTTTTTTTTTTCAAACTTGTAGTCTTCAAGCCGAAATTACTCAAGTGACATCACTGGAGGCAATTTATAAGACTTCTTGCAGCTCCCACTGCATAAAGGCTTTATACAACATTTTTCTTAGGATTTTCTTGCTGTGAGGAGACCAGCAGGGCGAGCACTCTTACTATTGTAATCAAAAACATTGCTCTCAAGCTCAATTCTGAATCTTTTCTGTAAATAGTTTTCTAATAAATATAGCAACTTCTGATCAACATGTATGAATTTCAAATTATGAACCCATTTTAGGTTTAAGCACCATCCCCATCTGGTCTAAGCCAATTACAAATAGGACAATAGATGCAGATAATGGTATAATCCCTACCATCAACCACATGTCGCCCATGTGTACACCCCTTCTTACAAGACAATCTATCGCAAAACATTTTGACTAGTTATTCTGAATAAATGTCTCTCTTAACCTCCTAAATGGTAGCCTATACAAAATATATTGCTCATACAAATAATTCTAACATTGTAATCAGTCTATTGGCACAGTGAAAGATGCAGAATACACGCTGGCTAAAGAACTGTCACAGCCAGTGCCTTTTAAAATAATTACTTTGAATATGTAGATTAGTGGAGCCAAAGTGAACTCCTGCAAAGACTGTACAAAGTTGATTATACATCTTCACTGAGGGTTGATGAATCTCTGTTGAAAACTTCTGTGTAATCCTGCTCTGGAGCCCTAACCATCTTTATATTATAAAGATTTTTCTCACCCTGTTGATCTGCTCACTGTTTGTTTTGAAAAGAGATTACTTTCTAGGCAAATTGCAAAGGGTTATTTATTTTGTGAGCCATTGTACTTCCCCAAACAAGATATTGGCACTTAAAAAAAAGAAAATATATCAACACAGCAGTGGAAATAGGTTACTACAAGACAAGAAGAGTAAACATTGACTTAATTTACTTTGCGTCTACTCTGTTAGCCAGGCAGAAAAGTACTCAAAATTGACGGAGAAGGATCTCAAATTGAGTAATTTGCTTTGAGTCAAGTCACTTATCCAACTTTACCTCCACATCTATTTGTTGTTTACTCATCTATTTAGAAGGCCATAACTATTATTAAACTGTTAGCTTTTTGGGACTGTCAAGTAATTCAGTAAACTGATTTTTTTTTAAAAGAACTTAAAGTTGTGTTACATTTAGGATCTATTGGTATAAATGAAATATAATACTCATAGGTATGTTTTCATTAGTTTATAATCACCTGAAAATAAGAATTATTATGTTCTTGTTACCTTAGAATGAGACATGTTAAAATGCCATCTTTCTGCAGTAGCCCAGAACTGAAAAACCAAAAACTGGCTGTAGATAGTGCCTTTCACGTTTTTTGTTTGTTCCGGAGCCAAAGTAGTTTCTCCACCCACTTCACAGCCTGTCCTCATTCCCAGGTCGTCAAATATGGACGTGAATGGTGTTCAGTTAGTTGCAATCTGCAGCTTCACTGCTAGAAGCCACTAAATCCTACACACCAGTCCTGCATGGATCCAGTTTGGCCTTACCCGCAATTATCTCCAAGTCAAATACAACCCAACCTGACATAATTAACCATTTGGCTGAATCAGTCACTAACTGTTACTACTGCTACTCACGCAACAGGTGATCAAGTGACTGATTGCTCCTGCTGCAGCTCTGTTTCCTCAGAGAGGATGTGTAGGCTTGCAATATAAAATTAAAAAAAAAAAAATCATACTGGCTGATTAGACTTTTTTTTTTTTTAATTTAGCTGATTTAGATGTTAAAAATAAGTCATATTCATTTCTGATTTCTCCAGAAAATCGCACCCACTGCTCGCCCACATTTAGTTCATTTTTACCAGCACCCATACATGACCCAGTGCAGAACTCTGTTATACACTGGTCCTTTAAATTGATAACAATTGTCAAATATTGTAAACACACAGCTTTAATTAATCTCTCTAATAAAATTCATTAAATCCATAATCATTTCCTAATAAAGTCAGCAATGTAGATGGAAATGTTCAAGATAAGTCACTTTATGTGTATGCCTCTTGAATTTACTATCATACTGCAGCAAAAAATATAAAAACAAGAGTACTTTATTCAGGGTTTAAAATGCTTGAAACTAAGTTGTTTTGGTGTAAGGAGGTTACAGTTTGGATCCCAGGAGTTATTTTAAATTGGTGGTAAGTGGTGCTACAGTAAGTGGTGCTTTAGAGGTACAGAGACTGTGCTATACTAAAAACACAATGCTGTTGCCATTCCTCTTCTTTAAGTACGATGTGTCCTCTGTAAATCGGCAAAAATGTAATACTCATTATTACCATAAAAGATTCCCAGCATCAAACATTCAAAAGGATGCACAATCCCAAAGTCACGAAGGAGACTACTCTACAGTAGCTATAATAATGCAGCTCCACCATGGGTTCTCTTTCAGGGCTTTATCTTTTGCTAATATAATATTTGATAGGAAGAGTGATAGCTGTAAGACAGCCATCTGCTCAGTGATATTGCAGTGCATCTCGTAATTACTTTCTTATTTTGTAATTTGATGACAAAGTTCAGATATGATGGATGAAGGCAGGGAGCCAGAACCAGTTCATACTCCTGTATGACTGTGAAAACTACCTGCCCATCTACTCTGTGGGATTACAGCATAGTCACTGTATGTGATGCCCAATCCAGCAATACCTTTAACAGCTACAGCTACTGTATGGTGACTAAAAGGATTTCTAAATGCAATGTTGGTTATAAATTGATCTAGGCAATCAAAACAGTTACAAAGTTACTCTAATTTGAAATCTGATGACATAATCAAAGGATTGAAATTACTACCAGTAAAAGGGGTTTGCAGGCAGAGGGCCAGGCCAATTATAGCCCCGATACCACTGTGATCTTACTTGTGTGTCCATCTGCTCTGCTCTGCTCTGTGGGATTACACCAAATCCTATTGAGCTCAGGGAATGGCAGCCAAGATCAGTAGGCCTGAACTTATCAAGACAAACCACCAGTACAAGAGAGGTTTGTCTTTTCCAACAAAGCACAAGATGGATCAAAAGGAACCATTGATTAATAATGCTCATCTGAGTCGGTACAATTAGTAGATGGCATACTGAATGTCTGATAATGCTATTATGGAAATACAATGTGGTGCAGCGTGACGTACAAAGCCCAAGAGTCTGGTGGTTCAA